TGGCGACAGAGCTAAGCGCGGACGGAGATGCTGGCGTGCAGGCGGCCTGCCCTGCGCTCAGGCTGCGTGTCAGTATGTACGGCCAATGTCCCGTGAGAACGCCAACAGACGTGAAGCTCTCATGAACAAAGTCGCCCTCGTCCCACAAGGGAGGCTCCATGTCATGACTTGAGAAAGCGAACACAGAAGTGACGGCTGAAAGGCACGGCCAGGTCACTGACTCGCCCACAAACACCTGCCCAGGCCGGGCGCCGAGACGGAGCAGAGCAGTCAGCCCGGGGGGAGCTCGGGAGGCAGGCGGGTGGGCCCACGGCAGGCGGACCGCAGGGAGCAGCGTGGGCCAGGAAGGCGAGGGACGGCGCATGGCGGGGTGGGGGACTGAGTGCACAAACAGCACGTCCCAGACCTCCCAGGAGCATGTGGTCTCTGGCTGACCCCTGACCTTCCCCCCCAAACCTGACTTACTGGTCTGGACGGGGCCCAGGAATCTGCATTTTAAGAACTCTGGGGAGTTCTCATCAGCAGGGAGATTTGGGGACGGTTGGTGCTGTAGTTCCCCACGCCCCAGAGATCAGCTGCACCCCGAAACAACCGTTACGGGGGTGTCCCTGGACGTGAGGGTTCCCAAAGCCCCAGAAGCGATGACGGTTGGCTCCGAGGGCGATGGTGACAAGCCGTCTCGCAAGTGCTCTGCAGATGCGAAGCCGACCCCTCCGTCCTCTGGGCCACCACAGCGGCCCTCACGGCCCCACCGCACAGACGGGGACCGGGCCAGGGAGGCTCCGGCCAGCACGGGGCAGCGAGCGGCAGGGGGGGACGGCACTCGCCCTGCGCTCCCAGCTCACAGGCGTTTCAACGGCCTCCTCTGTTTTTCCATCTTAAGATTCATTGCGACTCCATGTCCACTCCGACTTGAGAGCTGCCATCAAGTGGCGTGAGGACCGCGGTGGGACCGCGGGGAGGCCGTTAGTGGGGTGAGCGCACGCTCAGCAGGGTGTCCTTCGGGTTTTCCTCGGGTCCTTGCTTCTGCTGGCAAAGACCTGCCCATGAAGCTCTGCGTAGGCTGGCTTTTCTGCTACAATCTGTAGCTGGCTCCTGCCGGGGCACAGCTGGGTTTTGCACGGACATTTCTTGCTGGCTCTGCTGCTGGACTTCGGGTGAGTCCCCGTCTGTCGAACCACTGGCTCAAACGCGACTGAAGAGTAAAACCTCACCGAGAACCCTAATGAAACGGGGGAAAGCCTCAGCGATGTCTCAAGCTGTTTGTGTGTCTGGCTGAAGAGCAGGCGGTTCCTGGCAGGTGGGCCTCCTCCTAGCGGGGTGGGTGTGTGTGGGGTCGGCGCAAGGGGAGACCGAGAACACTCCAGTCAGAGTCTGTTCTTCTCCTTCTGTTCTCGGCCGACGTGGGCTCCGCCCCGGTCCACCTGGGCCCCGGGTCCACCTGGGTCACGTCCAGGCTCCAGACTCCCTTGCAGACCAGAGGTGCCCTGCACACACCTCCCTTCGGATTCAGAACATTTCACCTCGGCTGCAGACACCTCGTTTCCGATGATGCCCTGGGTGGCCGAGGGGACCTCCGAGGTCTCTACGGCCGAAGCCCACAGGCAGTCCAGGGGGACGCTAGCGGGATTGGCGGCACTCCCTGCTGTGGGGGGCTCACAGCCGGCTCGCTGGCCTCACAAAAGAGAATCGGCAAAGGGACCCGGCCAGCCTGTGTGTCCCAACCGCCGGGGACCCGTGTACTGCCAACCAGCCCCTGCCCAGGGTTAGGTCACTGTCATGAGGCCATCTCTCCTCCCTGCCGACCGGTGAGCAGGGCCGCACGGGGAGGGGGTGCCCTGAGAGCAGAGTGCCAGGCACAGCGCACGGTGCTGGGGATGGGGAGGTCTCATTCAGGTCCTCCACTTTCAGGGCTCTGATCCCACAGCCCCCAAAGGCCCGGATCACCCGAAGCGACCAGCTCTGGGCCAGGGGCTCCCCGGCCTGGCAGGTGAGCTCCAGCCTCGGGAGGGCAGGCGGGCAGGGGCGAGACAGGATGCCAACGTTGGAGGTCTGCACTGGGGACGCGCAGGGTCGGCTTGTGAACCACCCTCCAGAGGTCCGGAGGCCAGGAGGCCAGGAAGAGGAACCGATCCTGGGGTCACAGGGCCGGCTGTGCTGTGGAGCACCGAGGGTCACACGGAGGGCAGAGTCCTGGGCTCGCTCAGGGTGGACCAAGGCCTCCCCCCAGGACACCACCTTCGGAGGGACATCGCCTCCAAGGCCGCCCTGGTGGCGCCGCGGGCACAGACCACGTCCATCGGTCTGCATGTGGGCAGAATGGTCCCTGCCTTCGGCCATCAGTACCCCGCCCCTTGCTCCTGGGCCTGAGTCTGCCGTCCTCGGGGGGCCTTCGGGAGCTCAGAGCTGCAGGGGGGGGGGGTGAACGGCCTGTGGGCCCCCTCCCAGCGCAGCATCTCTGGCTCTCCTCGCTGGTGCCTCCTCGCTGGCGCCTGCCTCCCATTTGTTCCCTCGGCCGCGCGTGTCCCTCCTCCCTCCCATCCAGCTGCTGAGAGGAAAACACCCCCTTCAGCATCAGCAGCAGGTGTCAGCCCCTCGCCAAATCCTGGTCCTGGAGACAGCTGGACCCCGCTGGAGAAGACAGTGATGGATGGCCTGTCGGCCGGAGGGTAGACCAACAGGGGGAGTGGTGGAGGTCTCCTCCTCCACCCGACTGCGCACACCTGCGTGGGGCCCTGCGCTGACCAAGGAAAGTCAGGATGAACCATGAGGGGTGTGTCTGCTCTGGCCCCTGAACGGGAACTGCAGGGCTTGGCGGAGGCCGGCGGAGCGGGCGCCCCCTTCTGCACCTGCACCGCGCTCCACTGTCACGGCTGGAGTTAGACAGGCAGGTGGGTCTTCGTCTCCGAGAAGAAGTCATCGGCACAGTTACTCTGAAGGAGAATGAGCTCGTGGCCAAGTGGTCCACGCAGGTGACTTTCCCTCCACATTCCTCCCCAGCCCCGTGTTCTCTTCCCTGGAAGACTTTCCACTGGGCCAGGAGGCAGATGAGATCCCACATTCTTAGGGGTAAACACTCTACCCTGCTTCTCAGCTGACCTAGACCTCCTTCCCCAGGCCCAGCCCCCGCGCCCAGGAGCGGGCAGGACGCACCAGGCCCATGCACAGAGCCCCCGGCGCCCAGGAGCGGGCAGGACGCGCCAGGCCCGTGCGCAGAGCCCCCGGCGCCCAGGAGCGGGCAGGACGCGCCAGGCCCGTGCGCAGAGCCCCCGCGCCCAGGAGCGGGCAGGACGCGCCAGGCCCGTGCGCAGAGCCCCCGCGCCCAGGAGCGGGCAGGACACGTCAGGCCCGTGCGCAGAGCCCCCGCGCCCAGGAGCAGGCAGGACACACCAGGCCCATGTGCAGAGCCCCAGGCGCCGCTGGAAGGTGTTCCTCTCCTGCTCCCTCCCTCTCTCTAAAAAAAATAAAACATTATTTTAAAAAGCCGTTTTATTTCAGCCCTGGGTTTCTTTAAGGGCTGCAAACATTCCCGGGAACTAAGTCACATCCTCTCTGAACAGGAGGGGCCTCCTTGGCTCTTCAAGCTCCCATCGGAGACCTAGACACTTGTTTTCCTCTGCCCAACGCTCAGAAAAGATGACACCAGAAAACAGAGACGACCTCCCTCAGCACAAACGACACGCTGCACCCCCGCAGGGCTGGGCCGCAGGCGCAGGCTCCAGGAAGGTGCTGGCAGAGGCACCCGCGGAGCTTTCTCAGCTGTCCCGCCCCAGACCCCGCAGGAGGACCTCCGAGCGCGGAGCTGTCCCGCCCCACAGACCCCGCAGGAGGACCTCCGAGAGCAGAGCTGTCCCGCCCCACAGACCCCGCAGGAGGACCTCCGAGAGCGGAGCTGTCCCGCCCCACAGACCCCGCAGGAGGACCTCCGAGCGCGGAGCTGTCCCGCCCCACAGACCCCGCAGGAGGACCTCCGAGAGCAGAGCTGTCCCGCCCCACAGACCCCGCAGGAGGACCTCCGAGCGCGGAGCTGTCCCTCCCCACAGACCCCGCAGGAGGACCTCCGAGCGCGGAGCTGTCCCTCCCCACAGACCCCGCAGGAGGACCTCCGAGCGCGGAGCTGTCCCTCCCCACAGACCCCGCAGGAGGACCTCCGAGCGCGGAGCTGTCCCTCCCCACAGACCCCGCAGGAGGACCTCCGAGCGCGGAGCTGTCCGCCAAGCAGGGAGCACCAGACAGTCCCAGCCTCCTCCTTCCTCCCACCTCCGGCTCAGGAGGCGCTCGGACCGGACACCCCTTGTGCCCTGCCCCAGCTGTGCACACTCGTTTCACAGTGAAATGCAAACCTTCAGCCATTTAAATCTGAACCCTAAGTCCAAACTGCTGGAAACTGTATTTTCAATCCTTAAAACCCACAGAGGAGATAGGGCAGGTGGGCAGGAGGAGGAGGAGGAAGGCGGGGGCACGCCCATGGCACACAGGCCACACGGCCACTGAGCAGGAGCTGTGGCCAGGCCACTGCGGACCAGACGTGAAGTGTGCTGAGGCGGATCCACTGGGCGGATGGCCTCACACAGAAGCCCTTGCTGATGGACCTCGGCCACGGCTCGGCTCGGGAGGAGGGGAGCCCGGCGCCCGCCTGTACCCTGCCTGGCGCTCTGGGTTTGCGGTCGTCCCTCCTCTCGCCCGAGTGCTGCTTCCCAGGGAAGGAGGAGCCACCTTGCTTCCGTGCCTCCTCCCCTGACATCGTGAAGCCCAGGTCCTTCCAGAGAGGACCCAGGCCAGCGACGCTGCTCGGGTGAGACCCCGACACGCTGCTCCGTGGACGAGCTCACTCCGCGGTTTGGTGTTCCCTCTTTACCCTTCCCCTGTCCTCTAAGGGACGGTTAGAGCAGACAGAACACGCGGTTCACTCGACGTGTCTGAACTGAGCCGCGGCACCGCAGATGGTGGGCGGGTGACTGAGCTGAGCAGACCAAGGGAGACAGAGCCACAGAAGCCACAGAAGCCGTTTTATTTCTGAGTCTGACGAAGCTGCAGGACAGCACAGAGGTGGGGGCGGAGCCTCGTGCGTCTGCTCTCCTGCCCCAGCCCCCCAGCAACAAGCCCAGCCCCTCCAACACTGAGGCCCCACGCTCCTGTCCCTCCGATGGCACCATCTCTTCCACGGGCACCTTTCAGGACTTCACCCCCACCTTAAAGCTGCGTGGGGTCCACGGAGCCGGCAGACCGGAGCTTCGTCCGCAGGCTGCAGCGTCAGCGGGGGCGGTTGCGGTGTCACTTCAGCCAGATCCACGTGTCGCCCACGTCCGCGTTGTACCCAGGGCTGTACTTGCGGCCTGGCAGCTGTGGAAGGAAGCAGCCCACGGTCACCATGGGTTTACGGGCAGGCCCAGCCCCCGCGCACCCCTGCCTGCTGGGAGGGCGGCTCTGTGAGCAGCACAGCCTGCAAGAGCCTCCGCCCTGGTGGCCCCAAGTGCAGCCAACCCAGTGCCCCGTGCAGTCAGTCAGGAGGGCACAATGCTGTGGAGGGCACCTGGTGAGAACTGGAGGGGGTGACCCATGCAGACATCTGGGAGACAGAATGTTCCTTCTTATGCTCTGACCATCACCATCTGAAAACCCACTGATCAAGTCCCAGCTGAGTGGTCACTGTGCCCAAGGGTCCTGGCAGGGACAGCAGGAGGACCAGACTGAATTTAACAGTCGGTGTGGGCGGGGGAAGGAGCCCAACAAAGAAGGGGCCACCGTGGGAGCCCTAGCCACCCAGGCCCCCAACTGCTGCAGGAAGTGGGACGGGGCTGTGCCAGGCCCCCGGGTCAGGTGTGGACAGGTCCCCTGCAGGAGGTGGGACAGGGATGTGCCAGGCCCCCGGGTCAGGTGTGGACAGGTCCCCTGCAGGAGGTGGGACAGAGTGTACAAGTGTGTGCATGTGTGATTTGTGAGAGAGTGTGTGTGTAGGGGTGCTGGACAAAGTCTACGGAGGGGGGCTGTGTTAGGCTGAATAATGCCCCCAAAGATGTCCGTGCCCTGATCCTCGAACCCGTTACTTCATGACCTCACGTGGCAGAAGGGACTTTGCACATGTGGTTAGTTGAGAATCCTGAGACAGAAGATCACCCAGGAGAGATGTGACCTGGGAGCAGAGGTCAGGATGATGTGGGGACAGAGACAAGGCAGGCAGGCGACCCTAGAAGCTGGAGAGGAAGGTGCCCCTGGAGGACCCCGACCTGCCAACTCCCTGACCCTGCACGTCCGTCCCCAGAGCCACTGGATGACAGTTTGGGAAGTGGCTCCAGCAGCCACAGAGAGCTCGCAGGTGTGCACTCTGTGGCAGGAGACACTGGGCGTGTCTGCACAAGGGGGCGCAGGAGGGGAAGCAGACCCCGAGAGCAGGGCGGGGGTGGCAGGCTCTGAAATACCCAGCAAATTGCTATGGAAACTCAAGAGCTGTCGTGGGAGAAAACGGTCTTTTATCCTGTGTGAAGGTGGCCTCCCAGGGGACCACCTCCCTCCGCTGAAGGGCCAGCCACGGCCGGGCCCTCTGAAGGCGTCCAGCTCACTGCCCCTGCAGCCAAGGCACAGACGCCCTCGGCCTGCCTTCCCTGGTCTCTCGGTCAAGGGCATCCACTTAGCACAGGTGGCCTGGCCGGCACAGCAGCAGCCCGAGGAGGGTGGGCAGGCGGCACTCGGCCGTTTCCACCTTTGCAGATCACTGCTGAGCCACAGGGAACAAATCCAGCAGAGGAAGACTGCTGAGCACAGCCGTCCCAGTGGCTGCTGGTGCAGCGGCGGGTCTCGGACCCAAAGGCCTCTCAGCCGTCGGAGGCCCGAGACTGGGGCGCGGCTGCACAGGGAGCTGCCACGCAGGCTTCTCCGTCGCCTTCCTCCCAGCGCACCTGCGCAGCTCAGCCACCACCAAGCCCGCGGCCCAGCGCACAGCCCACGTGAGCAAACACCCCGACGCACCTCCCTGGCAGAGCCCACGCCGGCCCACAGGCCTGCAGTCCCCGGACCTGGTCGCTCGTCACTGCTCACGTCCTGGACGTGCCTGTGGGGAGGCCCTGCCCCTCTCTGCCTCCGCCCACCGCCAGCTCCCAGGACCCTGGCTGCCACCTGCCCATGCAGGGGTGGGTGGGCGCCCCGGTGCGCTGTGTGGGACTGAGCTCACTCCTGGAGGGCAGGCTCCTTCGGCTTTGACGAGGAGAGAAACAGACGTCTGTCTTACTGCAGCCACTAATGTTCTCGTTTTGGTTTCACTTCTCTGGTTCTTCCACTAAACTTAATTCTAATCTTAATTTTTTTGTTATTGCGTAGTAAAATAACATTTTTCAATTTCTGACTGACTGAAGGCCCATTCTTCACCACCTATAAAATTTCATTATAAAACCCCGTGAAAACATTTTACGTGAACGTTTACTGTTTAAACAACAAAAAGAGGAGGAGGGCGAGCCCAGCGCGTTAGGTGGAGGGTGATGCAGCCGGCACCACGGACTGCGTCCAGCCTCAGGGCCTGCGTGCCCGCGGAGGCCACGGGTGAGGAGGGCAGAGACCCGGAACAGCACCACCCTTCAGTTCCTGCTGTGGGGCCCGCGAACCCCAGCCTGCAGGTGAGCCTGCCGATCCCTGAGCCCCTGGCACTTCGGGAAGTTAGATGCTCTTGGAGGTTGTCTTCCCACCTCTGCACTGTCCACTGCCCACAAAATTCAGCCAGGCTAGTCTTCTCAGTGGTTAGAGCACTGCCAGCAGAACAGAGTCACAGGTCTGATTTCTGGTCAAGGGCACGTACCTGGGTTGCAGGTCTGACCCCTGATCCATCACGGCTCGCATGGGAGGCAACCAATGTGTCTTTCTCACATCAATGTTCCCCTCTCTCCACCCCCTCCCTCCCTCCTGCTCTCTGAATGGAAAAGTACCCTTGAGTGAGGATTAAAAAAAAAAGTCCGGCCCCGGCCGGTGTGGCTCAGCAGTTAGAGCGTCGGCCTATGGTCCAGAGAGACCCGGGTTCGGTTCCCGCTAAGGGCATGTACCTTGGTTGCAGTTTGTCCCCGGCCCTGGTTGGTCGTGCGGGAGGCAGCCACTCGATGTGTCCCTTCACGTCGATGTTTCTCTCTCTCTCCCTCCCACTCTATCTGAACAAAAAATGGAAAAATGTCCTCGGGTGAGGATAAAAAAAAATAAATGTCCGGCCAGTGTGGCTCAGTGGCTGAGCATCGACCCTGCACCAAGAGGTCACAGATTTGATTCCCGGTCTCACTCTCCCTCTTCCTTCCTCTCTCTCTAAAATCAATAAAGAAAAAAAAATAACAATCTTTAAAAAAGTCAAAGTCTAAAGCAAGGAAGAGGACCCAGCAGTCGCAGACACAGCTCTCACAGCTGGCCGGCCTGGGTCCTGCCCGGCGCAGACTCGGGCCCCGGGAGGGGCTGACCTGTGAGGTGTGCGGCGTGGAGAAGTCAAACGCACAGATGACAGAGGAGAGAGAAGGGACAAATGAGCATCTGTGGTGGACTGTGACAAATGACTCAGGTCCTAGAGCCTTCTGACCATGAGACGGTGGGTGCCTGTGGCAGACTGTGACACAGTAGCCAAGGTCCTAGAGCCGTCTGACCATGGACAAAGAAAGAGTGGGTGTCTTGGCAGCATGCAGTCCCGGGGACTCTTCCTCCGGAAGCTCTGCCCCTACACAATGCCTTTCCCCGCGAAGCCGTTCCTTCCCAGACTCCCGAGCCGCGGCCACCCAGGGCAAGCACGTGGGCACTAGGGGACACTGTGGGCAGTGTGCTGTCCTGCAACCAGCATGGCCTCGGGTGACCCTGACGACGACGCAGGCAGGCATCTATTTAAAAGGGAGACCAGACGCTCTGACTCAATCACGGACCCTTTCTCCTCGCTCTGAGTAGCTATCAGCTGAATCCATGGCAGTGTCACCGTCCGAGCACAGTGCAGCAGCCCTGGTCCCTCAGCGCATGCTGCCGTCATCAGTCACTGAGCCGGCTCCCTCCCTGCTCCCCTTCACCTGTCGTCAGTGCACATCAGCCATACTGTTCCAGTCCTCAGCCATGATTCCGGGGCATATTAGGAACCAAGATCCACTGTCATTGGGTGTCACGCCCTTTAAGGGGCACCTCCAAGTAGGGTCCTGGGGCCCCTCATCTCCCAGCACCGCCTCAGGGCTTCAGCGACCCCACAACTGCTACAGGACAGCGCTCTGCAGGACTGGAGCAGAGCTCACCTTGGCAGCGTCCCGTGCTGTGGAGAGGGGCCCGCGGGGCCGGCCCACTGGGCCCTTCCTCCTCCCAGGCAGGGGAGGTTCCATCAGGAAGGACTGGGGCCCTCCCTCCAGATGCGCCGGGGAGCCTCACACTGCTGGATAACCCTGGGGGAGCTGGGGAGTTCGATTCCCCGCTCCTCTCCTCCGTCATTACACGTAAACGCTCATGAGCCTGCTAGGAATTTTTCCTCCGTTTAAAGAGGAACATTGGCCCTGGCCAGTCTGTGTCTCTCACGCAGGTGTGTGTGTGTGTGTGTGTCTCTCTCTCTCCCCCCCCCTCCCTCCCAATCTAAAAAAAAAAAATCAATGGAAAGTCCAGCCGGTGTGGTTCAGTGGTTGAGGGTGAACCCACGCACCCAGAGGTCGCCAGTTCGATTCCAGTTCCGGTCAGAGCACATGCCCAGGTTATGGCCTGATCCCCAGGGTGGGCAGCAGGAGGCAGCCAGTCAATGTTCTCTTTCATCAACGTTTCTATCGCTCTCCCTCTCCCTTTCTCTCTCTAAAAAATCAATAAAGAAAACAATTTTTAATAAGACCAATGGAAAAATATCCTCAGATGAGGATTAAAAATATATTTAATAAATAAAACAAAGAGCACTGTAGAAATAATTAGAGTCAATTCTTTGATATACAATTTCCCCAACTTTCCATTACTATTAAGCATAAATCAAGTATAAAAAAACTGAAGTCGCGCTGACTGGTTTTGTTCAGCGGTTAGAGCGTCGGCCCACGGACCAATGCATCTCAGGTTCGACTCCAGTCAAGGGCGCGTAGCTCGGTTGCGGTTCATCCCCGGCCCTGGTCAGGGTCATGCAGGAGGCAACCAACTGATGCGTCCCTCTCACGTCCATGTTTCTCTCTCTCCCTCCCCCTCTGCCTCCCACTCTATCTGAAGATAAAGAACAAATATCCTCAGGTGAGGATTAAAAAAAAGTGCTAAGGTTTGAATGTCAAGAGGAAATTTAAAACAATCAAGTCAATGAACTGAGCCTAATGCTTTTCTGTTTACTGCAAGTCTGTCTGTTAAAGTGAATTTCACAAAGGCAAGAACACAGTGCTCACATACTAAAGTTATTAAGCATCTCTATTTTTAAAAACAGTAAGGAGTACTGGACACTGAAACTGAAAACAACCTAAAAGTAAAGAAATAAAAATAGCAGGAGGGAAACAAGAAGGTTCCGTTGTCCTAGCAACTGTCTGAGCGACCGGCCGGGGGTGGCGCAGGACCCTCGGCACCAGGCTCCTCCAATGGCAGAGACCGGGGCAGGGACCCCTCGCCGTCTACCCGAGGACAGACTGGCAGGAAGAGAACGTGGCCGCAGCACTGCGGGAGATGACCAGACCCACACTCAGAAACAGGACCGCACGGCATGGTCACAGCCTCCAGCCCACGACCAGACATCTGTCCAGGGAGTGAGGCAGGACGAGGAGGGGGAGATTAGACAGATAAAACTGTCATTTGCTGGCTTGTCTTTTTCTTTTTCTTTTTATATAGTGAGACTTTTTTTCTAATCCTCACCCAGGGATATTTTTCCCTGGACTTAAAGAAAAAAAAAGGTCACCACACGATGACCTGGAATGTCAGTCACAACCCTCACTTACCGCCAGACTCCAAACTCACTACACCTGACTGCTCCTCAACAAGCCCTCAGGGGGATACTAAGCATCTCGAACAGACCGTGTCCAAAGCAAACTCTTGATCTTCCCCCGCGTCCAACCCGAGTCCCAGTTTCTGAGCCCTGACATGGCAGTACGAAATCTCAACAGATCCTGGGGCCCGACCCACCATCCATCTGACCACTCTTCAGAAGCTGTGATGAGGCTGCCCTCTGACGTGTGCTCCATGACCCGCCTCCCGACGCTCTCCCGGCCTTGCCTGCGCCCCCAGCCAATCCGCTCCCAGTGCGCCGCACGTCCGTCCCCCTCCTGCCCGGTCCACCAGAGACAAGCCGTCTCCCCGCTCCCTTCCCCCCCTCCCTGCACCAGCACAGTGGCCTCCACTGTCCTGACTAGAAAACGCCTCCCCTCCTCTGCGCCGGGGGCCTCTCCACCTCAGCGCCCACTGCTCCCCGTCCCCTACAGCTCTGCCTACACACCTACTCCTCGTGAGGCCTTCCTGGTCACACCAAGACCTCTCCACGCAGCCCCAGCACAGGGGCTCTGCCAAACCTCTGCTGGGCACGTGACGTTCCCCACAGCACGCGTCACCATCGTTTGGCAAGTTCTGCCTCACTTTTTGTTCCGTTCCCGCCGGCAGCCGGGAGCCAGGAAGGCGGTGGGTGTCAGCTGCGTCTGCACAGTACAGGAGGGGCTGGGCACAGGCTGGGCCCGGGCACCAGGCAGGAGCTGCACCCCGGTCGCTGTGACGACGGGGAATGAGCATGTGAGAGAGGGGCCCGGCAGGACCGCACACGAAAGTGGGCGCAGCAGAGCTGGGGCGCAGCCCCGCGGACAGGGGCGGGCTCTGGCGCACTCACACCAGAGACCAGAACGAAGAGCAAACATGCAGGTGACAAACCCTCTACACTGAACAAAATCACTTTCACAACCCAAAGAACTTACTGAAGAGAAAATGGCAAGTCCCTCGGGGAAGAGAGGAGGCAGTGGGGCTACCTGGACACCCAGTCACGCTTCAAGCAACCTGCAAGTCTCATGTCAGAGATCACAGCCCCGCAAAATTATCAGCTTTCAACTTACTGCCGACTGCCTGCTCGGGTCTGATTTAACACAGCATGCCGCACGTCTGCACGGACAAGCCCACCCCAGCGGGCAGAGGCGGCCTGCGCCCTGCCCACCGACGGCCCCGGGAAGGTCTCGCTCGGGCGAGGCTCTCAGCAGAGCTGGCGGGTGCTCTCTGAGTTCACGTGTTCCCTCGGATGGCTCCGCACCGTTGTGAAAACAGATGGTTCACTGAAAAGGTCTGGAAATCAGATAGGACCAACAACACAGCCGCCCGCCGGGCCTCTGCCCTCCGCGCTGTCCAGCGGGGCCGCCCTGCCTCTGCACTGCGCTCCGTCTGCGCCAGGCCCTCCTGCAGAGACAACCCCCACTCCTAGCGGGCGGGCGCCGGAGAGCAAGGCGACGCCGCGTCAGAGCTGACGCCACGCGTGCAGACGGAGGCTGAGGAGCACAGCGGCACACCAGCCAGGCTGATGAGGACGCTGCCCGTGCACACGCCGCCAGAGCGTCTTCCTGCTCGCGGCCCGGCTCTGAGGACTGCGTCAACTTCCAGAGCACAGTTAGGGGAGAAAAGGAGAGTCACTTCGGTGAGAAGAAAGCTCTTTCACTAAGACAAATCATAAAGACAACCACGACCCTTCTCAGAAGTGATGCACCAGTCTGAGCCCCCGCAGTGCTCAGCTCTCCGGCTTCAAGGTCTCACCTCTGAGAACTCCCGGAAGACGCGGTCACTCTGGTGCGCTCCGATCGTGATTTCTGGGAGATACACGGGAATGGTGGTGTAATTCAGCACCTGCAGCTTATTCTGAACCCTAGGAAATAGAAGACATGGGTCACACGGAGCATCAACGTAAATAACAGCGTGGGCTGGGAGGTTGTTTTGAACACGTCGTCCCGGAAACCCCGTGCACTCCAGTAACGCCAGGACTCCCGGGCAGGCAGCTCGAGGCGCGGCTCCCACCCCAGAGACGGCAGGCCTGCGTGCAGCTGCTCTCTGGGGATGATTTTCACACCTCAGTGGGCTCTTTCAAAAGCCTCAGGCTGGGCGCCTACCTTTGGGAATGGATATAGTTTGGAAACAAAAAGTGTGCTTTAAACGTAGGAAGAGCCTGGCCCTGGCCACGGTGGCTCAGTGGCTAGAGTGGGCCCTCGCACCAGAGGGTCTCGGGTTCAATTCCCGGTCAAGGGCACGTACCTGGGTTACAGGTTCGATCCCCGGTGTGCAGGAAGCAACCAGTTCATGTCTCTCTCTCACATCGATGTCTCTGTCTCCCTCTCTCTCCATCCCTTCCGCCCTACCTTCTACTCTAAAAACAATGGAAAAATTATCCTTAGTGAAGATTAATAAAAAAAAAAAATCCCATAGGAATAGCAGGAATAAAAAGGTAAAAGCAAACACCATACAGTACAATGCCATGCACAGTGTCCTCATTAAAATTTTGCAGAATGAATGAGTCTTGAGGGAAAGAGCCTTGAGCCAGCAGGTCCCCGGCCGCACAGCTCGGTGCCGCCTCTCCCAAAGGCGGGGTCCTCTGCAGGATCCAGCAGAGCTGCCGAGGCTCCAGGGTGGGCGTGGGGGTGGGGCGAGCTCCCACACTGGACGGTCACAGCACCATCACTTAGACAGGTCTAGCTCTCCGCCTTCTTCGGCACCGATAAATAGACATCATGGGGCCCTCTCCCTGTTTCCTCATTTTGTTCTGCTAGATGCTAGAATATTTATACTTTTGTAATTTGCTTAAATTAATTTAGTCTGACTACACCCATTGTACTTGAAGATGAGAAGCATTTTTGGAACTTTTAGAAAGAAGCATTAAAATAAAGTCTCCTTTCTTAAGGGCTCAAAACAAAAAAAATAATTATTTTAAATGGCCACTTTCCCATTAAGGAGTTATAATGGCAGAAGCTTCTGCTTGTAATGGTCCAGATGGAAGTTCTCTAACGTCTCTGGCTCTCAGCCGCTCGGTGAGAGTGAGTCCAGCCCTACCGGGCAAACCCAAGCTTGTCCCACACTCCAGGCAGGCCGCACGGCCGGCGGGACAGCCGATCCACTCCAGGGCCGGCGGCCCTCCGTCCCTCCCACAGAGGACTGCAGAGCGGCAGAACCCAAGGCAGGCGAGCGAGCGTGGACAGCTGCAAAGGCAGAGCCGGTGCCACCAGTTCCAGCCGTCACCCGTGCCCTGACTGGTATCCACCAACCAGACACCCCCGCAGCGCTGCCAGGGCCGCAGGCTGCTTCCCTAACGCCCGCAGATGCCCGGCGGGGCCACCCAGGGACCGGGGACGCCCAGGAACCAGGCCCTGGCCTGAGTGGGCGCTCAGACTGGAGTGGACAGCACGTGGCTACAGAGTACCTTTCACAAGGACGTATCAGTGATGTAGAAATACACACCTTTTTATTTTTAACACAATAGTCATTCTATTCTTATTATACATTGACAATTTTTTAAAAGTGATCTCACAATAAACAATTTCAACTAAAAATGAAGTTCATATGTTTAAATATTAACAAAGATGTAGGTGGGTATGATTTGGTTTTCTCTATAGCTTGAAAATCTGTTAAAATTCTGGAAGACTGGGAAGAACTTACCGGCTGGGCCCGGAAACGTGTGGACTACACAGAGCAACAGCGCCATCTGTGTTCGATTTGGCAGAATTACATGTACACACAACCTCCACAAAAGGATGTACCTGAACAATCTGCTTTAAAAAACTATCTGCAGCTGCTCACAACTTCCTTAAACCTGGCAGCACTGCTGAGCCCGGTCTCAGCATGGGCTTGAATGACGGCGTCAGGAGGGCCGCGCCACCCTCCCCCGTGAAGCCCAGGCCTCACTCCCTCGCAAACCGCACAGTCCAGACCCAGGGTAAGAAAGGAGGGAGGACAACAGGAAGCTTTTCAGGCTCAGGAAGAAAACGCAGCGAAAGCGAACATTCTGTGCACAGAGCACTTAGCCTAATTAAGGAGAACTCAAACCCTGACTGAGAACAATGCAGCCTCTTAACATCTAAGCACAGTGCCCGGATGAGACAATGCGCTCGAGTTTGGTCTACAAAAGGCTGCTACATCATGTATTTTAAAACAAAAAAGCGAGGCAGGAAAAGACAGAAAAAAGTCAGTAAAGTACGTTTTATGACTTAAACTGTTCTTCAGTTAACAGAAAGTCTACACTCCCTACTAAATCACGTCCAGAGCGTATGCCTCGGTCTTTCCCGAGGGGCAAGTTCATGTGAACGCTGCACGCTAGAAGCCATGGCACAAAGACGCCCTCGGGGGTCAGGGTCAGCACCTGGGGAGGGAGAGGGGCGGGTGGAGAGGGGAGCGGCAGGAAGGCGGAGGCTCGAATGCCAGCCAGTCCCCACGCAGGAGTGGAGCCCACAGCAGGCACCAGCAGGTCTCGGGTCACGGCTACGGACACAAGGACCTCCAAGGTTGAGGGCCAGGTGCCGCGCACATCAGCACACACGTGACTACACACCGACACACGTCACCGAGGCGGCACAGAAACGCTCTAAACCAATAATTTGGTCAAGTTTTGGACAAAATGAGCACAACTCATTTCGTAAATGGCATGTTTACAGCAATTATCTCAGAAAATTGGTCATAATTTCACTCGAATCCCCCAAACTAAGAAATGGAACTGGGATGAAATACAGTGACGACTGACTGCGGTGGGATGTCTCTGGGGCAGGGAGCAAAGCCGGGGGGACAGGACAGGGGCACTGACAGCGGAAGAACTGAACATGGACTGAATGTCGGCTGTGAGCGTCCAGGGAAGGTCAGGACCTCTCCCCGTGCTGAGAGCCATGGACTGAGCACCCACACAGTGTGACTCTAAGACAGGGAATTCGGACAAGGTCTAGCCTGACCCCAGGTCATGTTTAGAAAACAGCCGCAGCCCGTGAAGGGTCAGAACGTGACCCACGTGGCCCAGGCTCAGCAGGGTATCAGGAGGTCACCTTTCTTGTGATATTATGTACCCTGCCCAGCAGGAGCTGATAATAACAGTGACCACATATAAATCCGCGTACGGCAACAGCCTGGAAAAGACAAGAGGTTTCCAGGAAACACAAAGTGAGTGCTTGGATTTTCGCATAACTGCAGGGCGGGTGGGGAGGGGCTGGGCCGGGTGACCTGCGGGGCACGTAGGGGGGAGCCCCCCAGAGGACGAGGACTGCGAATCGGGAAAGTGAAGCTGGGCCGCATGACGAGCACAGCGCTGCCCCCGCAGGGTCCTGTGAGAGGAGAGCCTCGTCGCTGGGACAGTCTGATGGACAAGGACCTGGCCAGGCATGTGCCAGGGGGCGGGCGGGATGAAGGAAGAACTGACCGGAGGACTGGAGCTCGAGGATGAGGGGCTCAAACCCCAGAGCAGAAGTAATAAGAGAGAAATCACAGGAGAAGCGCACAGCGACCATAGGGTGGGATGTAAGAAAAGGAAGGGACCAGAGGGAACAGGAGGTCCAGGCAGGTGACCGCTGAGCGAGAGGCGACCCTCCCACGGGATCCAAGCCTGGGCCGAGGAGGGAGGGAGGGAGGGAGGGCAAGATGGCCGTGCACAGGGCCACAGGGAGGAGCCACGGGCGACACCGCAGCCCCCAGACACTGTCCTGTGCCCGTGGCCAGTCAGCTCTGAGCCGTTTCCCACCTGTGAGAGGAGGGGAGCCCCCCCAGACAGCAGTGCTGTGGGGCCAGGGAGTTTCTGAGGCGCTGACCTTGGGGCAGACTTTTGAAGCAAGGTTCAGAATATGCTGTACATAACTTCATTTAGGTACATTTGCAAAAACACCTAGACAAAAGTATTAATATAAGTATCTAGACCAGTGGTTCTCAACCTGTGGGTTGCAACTCCTTTGGGGGGTCGAACGACCCTTTCACAGGGGTCGCCTAAGACATAACAGTAGAAAAATTGCAGTTATGAAGTAGCAATGAAAATAATTTTATGGTTGAGGTCACCACAACATAAAGAATTGTATTAAAGGGTCGTTGGGCCCTGGCCGATTTGGCTCAGTGGTTAGAGCGTCAGTCTGTGGTCCAGAGAGACCCGGGTTCGGTTCGCGCTAAGGGCATGTACCTCGGGTGCAGTTTGTCCCCAGCCCCGGTTGGGTCGTGCGGGTGGCAACCACTCAATGTGTCCCTTTCACGTCGATGTTTCTCTCTCTCCCCCCCTCTCCCTCCCACTCTATCTGAACAAAAAATGGAAAAATGTCCTCAGGTGAGGATTTAAAAAAAGGGTCGCGGCATTAGGAAGGTTGAGAAACACTGATCTAGACAAAAGAAAAGTTAAGCACAGAGTTTCAGAAAACTAAGTGGGATCCCAGTTCACACTGAGAGTACGCAGCTGGAAGCCGGCCCTCCTGCCCTCCATGCTGTCTACAGGAAACCCCGTCCACACAGGCTCCGGCTGAGGGAAGACATGGAGGACAGACCACACCTACACTAACCAAGCTGGAACAGATACGTCAACTCCAGACCAGCGGACTTCAGAACTAGAACAATTCCCTGGGATGAAGAGGGGATTCCGTGATGGTGAATGAGTTAACTCTCCAAGATACGATCACCTAAACACACCCGCACCCAGCGATAGGGCGTCAAGACGCACGAGGCAAAACCAACACAGCTCCAAAAAGAAACAGACCGAGCTGCCCTGTCAGCCCGAGACCCGAACGCTCCTCCTCCTGGGCCGGCAGACCCAGCAGACAGGCAGCAGCGAGGGAAGGGTCCTGAACACAGCAGCCACCAGCCTGGCCCACTCAGCAACAGCAGGACCCACCACGTTCTCACTGGAACATCAAGACCAAAACGTGCCTGGCCCACAGCATCTCACCCAAAACCACCGAGCAGAAATCATACAAGCCAGTCCTCAGACCACAATGGGGTTCAAGCAGAGGGAAATGTATACACTAAAGACACATATCGGAAAAAGACTTGCAATCGATCTTCTAAGCTTCCACCTTAGGAAGTGAGAGTGAAGAGCAACAGAAGCCGAAGGAAGAAGACGGAGAAGGAGAAACTCTAGGAGCTCGAGTAGAGAGCAACGACACCGAAACAAAAACAGTCCAGGTCGTCAAAACAAAAAGCTGATTCTTTAAAAAGATCATTAACATGAGAACATTTACAAAGGACAAATAAATAGCCAATAAAAATATAAATTATTTGAAGTTTGCGCTGAGCTGCCCAGGCTCAGAGGGCCCTGCAGACGACAGGGCGAGTCCGGCTGGCCCACGCCTTCCGGAGGACGGAGGACACTGTGCAGACATCAGGCGTCGTAGAATGCACTCAGACAGCCTGGCCCAGTAACTCCACTCTTACACCTTAAGAGAGTAGCCTGAAATGGAGCAAGAATGTGAACGACATGCTCACTGCTCTACTCCGGATGCGAAGAAATCAAAACGGCTGGACAGACTGGACTGGACTCCAGAGATGGGGACGAGCAGGCCTGTGCTGGGCCGACACACCTTCTCGGTGAGGGGCCACGGGGGCGTCAGGCTTCGAGACCACACATGGTTGCTGTCACTGTACATTCTCTTTCACGATCCTTGAAGAGCGTAAGGCCATTCTCCACAGCAGAGGGCTGGGTCTGGCCCACAGGCGTGGTTTGCAACCCTGACTTCTACCTCATCTACGGACTCAGACAGCACATGCGAGGAACAGTTAAAAAGAAAAATCAAAAATTTAAACACTTACTAAACTACAGACATGCTCATGATATTAAAAACAGAATACAGCCTGGCCGGTGGGGCTCAGTGGGTTGAGCCTTGTCCCATGGACTGAGAGGTCCCAGTTCGATTTCCTGTCAAGGCACATGCCTGAGTTGTGGGCTTGATCCCCAGCAGGGGGAGTGCAGGAGGCGGCCAATCCATGTATTGCTCTCACATCGATGTTTCTCTCCCTCTTCCTTCCTCTCTCTCTAAAATATCAATAACAACACATTTAAAAAAGAATACAAAGATGTGCAAAGTACTTTTCACTTAGAAACATATGATCACATCCACTTTAAAGACTGTGAGAACTCGCACGGAACTTTCAGCATCAGCTCATGCAGCAGAATCACAGATGATGTCGCTGTGATTGGGGCTTTGGTTCCCAGCTTCCCACCTTGAGTGGGAAGGGCTCTGACCTCACAGCCTGACCTACCGTGTGTTCGGTGCCCCTCGGCCTCCTTACCAGGGCAAGCTGCTCACTTTTCCTCCTCTGCTCCAGCCACACTGCTGAGCCGCTAGGCATCCCTTCCCGCCAAGCTCCTGCTCAGGGCCTCTCCTGGACCCGGCCTCCCTGCCTCATGCTGACCCGGACACCACAGGCCCAGGCCTGCGCCAGTCAGGCCTCTTCAGAAGACAGGCCTTCCACGTGCTCTCCCCAACAGGGGCGTCGGTCACACACTGTCCCATTACTCAGGGCTGCCTTCCTTCACTGCCTTTAGCACCAACAGTTCTCTTGATCTGGGCTCTCTATCTCCCCCACAAAATATCTTGGACTCAGGAGTTCTACTTGATAACACGTCCCCTACATCTAAAACTGCCCGGCACATGGTGAAGGTGAAGCAGCTGCTGAATTAGCAACCCGATCAGTCGCCGGGCTATCAGACCACAGCCTGTTCGGGAGGGAAAAGGAAACCCGCTTGCAGTGCAGGCTGGCGCTGGCAACACCTCACGAAACACACTCACCCACAAGTCTGCAAGTGTCTACAGCAGGCAACGCACGGCGCTCGAACACAGCCCTGGTGCGCCTGGCCCCGCCCCGGGCCCCACACTCACAGCATCAGCAGGCGCTCGAACACAGCCCTGGTGCGCCTGGCCCCGCCCCGGGCCCCACACTCACAGCATCCGCAGGCGCTCGAACACAGCCCTGGTGCGCCTGGCCACGCCCCGGGCCCCACACTCACAGCATCCGCAGGTGGTGGAAGGTGCGGTCGTCCTGGTCAAGCCACGGCCCCTTGTCACACTTGAGGTATTCGATGTCCTCCACCACCTGGACAGAAGGAATTCCAATTTTAATGGGAAATCTAATTTTAAATGACACATTTTAATACACCATAAACTACAAATATCAGGCGAGAAGAATCACACCATAAAAGTAAAAAAAAAAGAGTCCAAACAGATGGCCTCAGTAAAGTGGGGGCTGAGTGATGACCCCGCGATGTGGGCGTCTCGCCCTGCTGACACTGGGGCAGTGGGCATCACCTGGCAGTCTGGGGGGGCCGGCGAGGAGACCGAGACTAGGGAGGGCCAGCGTGTGTGGCAGACGACTCGCTTCCTCCCAGTCACTGCGCACCTCTGGCTGAGAGGCCCGTGCCCGAAGCCCGTGGCCTGGACACTGGCTCCCAGGGAGCAGCCTTCAGGGTGCACCCCCACCCCCCGGTCACCCAGCTGGGAGAGCTCGTCCAGCCTCCAAGAATTTGATTATATTCAATGATGAATCCAACTAATGGGCCTCAGAGCTGAACCGCGTTCCTCCTCTTCTCAAACACATGCCACCTGGCTAGCCTGTCAGATGTCAAAACAACCTGAAACAAGTCACCGCAACATGAGGAGGCCGGGAAGAAAACAAAACGTGGCTGAGTCCTTTGGGAAGAGGATGACGCGTAACGGGAGCTCTGCAGTGGCCTGGAGCCCTGGCCGCCCCCCGCGACCACCAGGTAGCTCAGGGTGTCCCTCAGGGAAGCGGGCGGCTCTGTGACCTTCTGTTACGTCACCTCCAGACCACAAAACTTGGCTTTGCTTCTAAAATTCTTATACCTTTTTCCAAAAAAGTAATTTATGCTTATTATATATGAGATGGTACTTAAAAAGTTTTTTTAACCAAATGAGTGGTCAACCGCCTCAATACCTTTCAGGAAATAACCAGTTTTCCTCTACCTTTTCATTATCCTTTAAAATACTGACTTTACCAAACCAAGAGTTTCACACACATGCACACACAGCTGAGCACTCACATACACAGGTGAGCATGTGCGTGCACACACACAAGTGAGAGCTCTTACACACATAGGTGAGCGCGCTCACACACACAGTGAGCACATGCATGCACACACAAAGGTGAGCGCTCACACACACACACACACACACACACAGGCGAGCATGCTCACACACACACACAGGTGAGCATATGAATGCGCACACACACACAGGCGAGCACGCTCACACACAGGTGAGCATATGAACGCACACACACACATACAGGCAAGCGCTCACACACACACAGGCGAGCGCGTGCACACACAGATGCACCTGTTTCTGGACTGCCCTGTCCCACTCACTGGCACCACCACCACAGCGCCGTCACCGCCACACTCTAACATGTTTTTGTATTTGGGAGGGAGATGTTCCTGTATTATTCTTTTCAAAGTTTTTTTGGCTATTATTAATTACACTAAGATTCACTTGAATTTTTACAAAATGCACCTTCTAAGGTGGGGAAAGCTGGTACCTTGACATACCAAATTTTTCTTGTTAACTAAGTCAACCTTCAACGTGACCGTCTGTGTCACCAATGCTGTAGCAGGCAGCCTGCGGCCCTTTGCACCTTACGTTTTGTCGCTCTAGGACCACAGAAACGGAACTATTTCCATGGAAATCACAACCTTGTGACCAGGAGTGTGATGGGCGTGAAACTTCTCTTGGACTGTAACACAGCCATTTCCCAGACCACTGGGACGGAACTGACACTGACTTGCAGGAACATCATACGTAAATCAGATTTAATAATGCATTTTCCAGCCACCTTCTTACCTTTTCTGCATCCTGAGCCTCCCTTGCACTGTACTGCAGAACTTCACACTTCTCACTGCAAGAGAAAGATGGAGGCCGACGTAAACTTCCCAAGTTTACATCACCATACAAATGAGCACTTAGCCTTGAAGTCGCCCCACCAACACGAACACGTCCTTGAACTGGTGCTGGGCTGGGCCTGTACGGGCTCCCATGACCGGACTGGGTCCAGAGGAGGCACAGGTAGGAATCTGCTTGTGACTGGACGGTGACAGTGGCAGGCCTGCTCCTGGCTTCCCTGCTGTCCCCACCCCACAGGCATGAGAAAGCAGAGCCACCTGTGTCTATAGAGGGCAGGGCACACAGGTCACTTCCACTGCTACGCAGGCTGCACTCACTACAAGAAAGTACAAAGGAGCCCAGATCCCACTCAAAGTGCCCGACACTGCTCACACTTCACCCCTGAGCACCAAGCTGTCCTTCTAGCCAACGTGAAGGGTTACCTGTCCCCTAAAGTAGAAATACGTAAGTTCTCAGGCCAAAACCCACACCGAAATACAGCTTCAGTTTATTTCTAACATTAAAAATATAACAAAAGAGCCCTGGCCGGTTTGGCTCAGCGGTTAGAGCGTCGGCCTGCGGTCCAGAGAGACCCGGGTTCGGTTCCCGCTAAGGGCACGTACCTCGGTTGCAGTTTGTCCCCGGCCCTAGATGGGTCGTGCAGGTGGCAACCACTCGATATGTCCCTTTCACATCGATGTTTCTCTCTCTCTTCCTCTCTCTCCCTCCCACTCTATCTGAACAAAAAATGGAAAAATGTCCTTGGGTGAGGATAAAAAAATAAAATAAAATAACAAACAAGACAAAGAAAACTGACAAAATAAGCAAACCAGAAACCAACCCAATCACACTGAAAAGCCTGCTGTCATTCTTGTTTACAGAGAGCAGACTGGACCCCGACAGCCTCCCGCACACAGAGCTCCTGTGCAGCACGGCGTCAGGAGGAGGGCTCGTCCCACAGACAGCCCCGCCCTCAGCTCACCTCATCTCAGGAAGGAAGGTCTTCTTATAGGCACTCTCGATGTCCTGAAGGTAGCCAGAGGTGATCTTCATCTCGTGTGGCTGAACAAGCAGAAGAGCACAGGGGTGAACCACTCAGCCTTCCCTGCCCTTCCCTGTGCACACGTGAGCCGCGGACACAACCAGCCTTCCCTGCCCTCCCCTGTGCACACGTGAGCCGCGGACACAACCAGCCTTCCCTGCCCTCCCCTGTGCACACGTGAGCCGTGGACACAACCAGCCTTCCCTGCCCTCCCCTGTGCACACGTGAGCCGCGGACACAACCAGTCTTCCCTGCCCTCCCCTGTGCACACGTGAGCCGCGGACACAACCAGCCTTCCCTGCCCTTCCCTGTGCACACGTGAGCCGCGGACACAACCAGCCTTCCCTGCCCTCCCCTGTCCGCGGACACAACCAGCCTTCCCTGCCCTCCCCTGTGCACACGTGAGCCGCGGACACAACCAGCCTTCCCTGCCCTCCCCTGTGCACACGTGAGCCGCGGACACAACCAGCCTTCCCTGCCCTCCCCTGTGCACACATGCGCCGTGGACACAACCAGTGGACAGTGTTTCCTCAGAGCCACTCCTGCTGGCTGCTGCAGGGACTCTTGGGGTGACAGTAAGAGGTCTCAGGGCCACTTAAAACTACTCTCATCTGCATCCCAGTGTCAAAAAGAAGGTCCTTCTTCCCCCATGGAAATGTTCACTGTGGGAGTGACAGTCCCCAACAGGAAGTGGTCACAGGTGCAGTGGTCCTTGTGGTTACTCCCTGGGTCCGTCAGACCGCAGAGCCAGCGCCACTGAACCCGGTCTCAACTGAGGAACGAGACAGTGGGCGTGTGTGGAGAGGACCACTGCACTTCTCCAGCATCAGTGAGCAGGGAAAGAGGGAAGAGGCCACTGAGTTAAACAGACGGCAGTGGGAATATCAGACATCGGTTTGGGTCGTAGGAAAACAGGCGGGAAACCGTCGTGAGTGGAAGGCACTGCACCGCGGGCATCCTGTCAGCAGACCTCCCGTCCTGCAGGGCGGTGTAGGGACACAGGCACAGGGAGCGAGGGGGCGGCACTGGGGACTGGAGGGCACTGGAGGAGAGCAGCACCGGCCAGCAGTCACTTCCCGCCTGCTGCTGCAGACGAGCGGGGAGGAAGGGGCCGAGCACGGAGCCCCGAGGGAGCCGACTCACGTCTCCTTTCTTCTGAATCCGACTCTGGATCTCCGGGACGGGCATGTCGATGTAGATCACCACGTGAGGGGGCAGGTACTGGCAGATGGTCACCTTCTTCACCTCGTTGTAGTGGCTCACACCTGGCACACCCGGGAGACGCTGCCCGTCATCCTAATAGTCCGCGCATTTCCACAGCGCACCCGGCTCAGCTGTCAGAGCAGCTGCACGTGTCCCGTGATGGCTCTGCCGCCCTCACAGCAATCCTGCAAATCGGCGCTCCGCCCCGCTTCCCCGCTCCTGAGTGCCGGGCCAGAGCATTCCGCCGGCTGCTACGCGCTGCCACCCCGCCGCAGGCCGGCAGAGCCCGTCTGACCCAGCTCCTCTCCCTGGCACCTGGCACAGTGCCTGCACACAGCCTGTTCTCTGGGGGGCTGCTGACCGACCCCGACTGCCGCCAGCCTGTCTAGTGAGCGTCAGCATCCTGGTCAGAGGCTAGGGCTCCGGCTGCTCTCTGTACAGGCACATGGTGTCCTGTCAACAGCAGGGGGCGCAGGCACGCAGGAGCAGACCGCCTGGCCTCACTCAGCACTGCCTGGCCTCCGTCCCCCACTCACTAACCCACACACTGACTCTGCCCCCCAAGCCGAGCTGCCTCTGCTCCAGCTGGCAGAGCACAGGGAAGGGCCACAGGCTGACAAAGCCTCTTCCCAGCCCGACCCACCCAGCATGCTCCTGGGCACAACAACTGGGCCCCACCAGGCGGGCTCCCATCGCCCCCATGGTCAGGCAACCTCTGTCCAGGAGGCCTTTCCTCCTGTCCGTGTGCCACTTGTTGCCACTTGTCAGACTCTGAACAACGCCCAGCACAGAGCTGCTGTCCCAGAAGCCTCTGAGCAGCGGGTGTCGGAGAGGAGGAGAGGGGGGCGGCAGTGCTGCCCGGCAGGTGCAGGCACCGGGTGAGCACCTCTGACTGCACAGAACAACACACTAGAAGCTGCACAGTTCAGGGACCTTCCATCTATCGGCCAAAGAACAGCTTAGGCCTCCCGCCCACAGTGGGAGCAGGAGGCAGCGCAGAGCTGGGGAAGGCAGTGTGGGAGCTGGGGGAGACAGTGCAGAGCTGGGGGAGGCAGCGCGGGAGCTGGGGGAGGCAGCGCGGGAGCTGGGGGAGGCAGCGCGGGAGCTGGGGGAGGCAGCGCGGGAGCTGGGGGAGGCAGCGCGGGAGCTGGGGGAGGCAGCGCGGGAGCTGGGGGAGGCAGCGCGGGAGCTGGGGGAGACAGCGTGGGAGCTGGGGGAGACAGCGTAGAGCTGGGGGAGGCAGTGTGGGAGCTGGGCCCGGGCTGTGTGCGGCTGGACAGCACTCCACTTCCACAGATGTTAAGTTCAGAGGGAAAGGGGTGGAGGGGCCATCTGCTTCCTTGGAAAGTTCGTAAGGAATGGCAGACGTGCACAGGACACACACCAGCTGAAGGTGAGTGTCCCGAGCCCTGGCAAGGCTGCGGGCCCACCCAGGCGCTGGACAGACTCACATTGCCTCCGGATGAAGCCCTGCTTGTACATCGCCTCCAGGAACACAAAGTCACTGTAGATGGAGCGTTCCAACACGACACCCTGCCCTGCGTAAAGAGGGACAGAAACTGAAAATTAAACATGATAATTAAAGCACTAAAACAAGTCATTTCATCTTAGGAAGGGGAAAAATCCAGCTATTTACAACTCCAAATAGTTTCCAAAGAACATAGATGTACATCTAAGTGGGAAATCATTTTTAAACAAGTAATATTTTTTTGGTTTGGGCAACAGAACATTTTGCTTCATTGTGTCAGCTGCAACAAAAGTATCTAATTCATAGAAAAAGTTTCATTTTAAACCACAAGTTTCCCACCCTACCAAGCCCACCGCAACCCTGCTTCTGCCCCAACCTCAGGGAGACTAGGCTCCTCCTCGGCTCCCCGCCCCAAAACCCTGCTCACGCAAACCACCAGCTTTCTTCCACCGGCATCTGGCTCTGACTACTCAGCACAACTGCGGTGGTGACCCTCCCAGAGCAAGGCCTCCGCATCTCTGACCAGGCCAGGCTCCATCTCACCTCCTGCACACACCTGCCCCCTGGGCCCTGGGATGCTCTCACCCACACCACAGTGGCATTTCCAAACTGCAGCGGGATCTTGTCACCCTCCATTCAAGCTCCCAATGGCTTGCTCTCTCCGTCAGGGAAAAACCAATGACCAACCATCTCACCCAGGCTCTGCCCTCATCCTCATCCCCTCCCAGCCTCACTCACTTCACTCCCACGATGGCCTCCTGATGGTCAGCACACGACAGGCGTGGCTGGTGCTGCTCAGAGTGCTAGTCCCCAGGGGTTCCTGGCCCGTTGCCTTGGACTGAGCCCCACAGTGCTAGGCAAAGGCCTCCCCCTATCTTCCCATCTGGAAGAGCAGCCCCCAGCCCTGCCCCAAACGCCTTCCTCTCTGCACGTACCATTCACTACCTGACATGGCATCAACTGTTCCCCATGTTTACTCGTATCATCTCACCTACTAAAATATAAGCTCCAGGGGGTGGAGGGGGCTTCACTCCCTGTGGTGCTCTAGCTCCCAGAACACACCTGGCACACAGCAGGCACTCATTAAACAGTTCATGAATAAATTAGTGTAACACAAGAGGAAACAAGTTGTCATTTAAAAGTTTCCTTTTAAGAAACGGAGCCCTAAGACAGGCTAAAGGAGGCTTCAGGTAGCCTGCAGGAGCCTGTCCCTGCGGTCCGCAGGCTCCTCGTGGCACAGAGCTGGGTCCTGGTGCACAGCACCCAGGCCACGTTTCTTCTCAGGGGCGTGCTGACCACAACCAGCGCTTACGTCCATAGAAGAGAAAGTATCGCTACCGAAACGATGGACAGCAGGACAGTAACTAGGCCTCTGACACCATTCATATAGAGCACTGCCCTCGCCTTGTGGCACACACTGTGGCTGTGGGACCTGCCAGGACACAGACAAGGGTTCCCAAACGCAGGTTTCCGAGCCAGCACTGTCAGCAACCTGGGTCCTTGTTAAAAATACATTCCTGTGCTCACGCTCAGGACTCATGAAGCAGAGCCTCTAGGTGGCAGCTGAGCTCTGTGAATAAGCTCACCAGCTAACTGACAGCTGACAGCGTGGCAACCACAGCTACATACAGTGGCCGGCACAAGCGCCCACCTCACACAGCACCTGTGCGTGCGCGTGCACGGGGCGGCCTCGGCCCATGGTGGTGGCCAAGCACCAGTGCTGCACCTGCTGTCGGAAGCTAAGGGTGCTCTGGGACCGAGTCTCAGCCACGTGCGGGTTCCAGGGAGGACGAAGCAGCCTGCCTGGATGCCAACCACATTCTGCACTCTGAACCACCATCGTCCTGCCCCAACGGTTCTGTCCCTCCATCTCCTACCTGTGTCCTGACCCCTGGCGCCTGCCCCTAGACTCCAGGCCTTGCTGCCCTAGATGCCAACTGCATCCTGCACTCCGGACAACCTGTGGTCCTGCCTCAACGGTCCAGTTCTTTCATCTCCTACTGTGTCCGGATCCCTGGTGCCTGCCCCCAGGCTCAACCTTGCTGCCCTGGTACACAGCCCTTGCCCATTTCTTGCCTGCTTCAGGTAACTTCCAGGGGCACACCTCCCCTGCTGGGTGCACCGCCTCCCCGATCCCTGCCATCGTTCACAGGGTTAACCCCCATCCCTGGGCCTCAGTGACAGCCCTATTTTGTTGCAGCTCTATCTTGTATAACACACGGTCCCATCCCCACAACTGCAATTCCACTTCCTTCCCATCATTTGAAGGTTCTTTCTTTCCTCTACTGTCTTGACACATGTGCCACAGAAATTCCATATAATCCATAAATCTTACTCTAGTACACGAAAGCAAAATAACACGAAGTGAATTTACTCTGCAGCAGCAATCACGGGTCGGGGGGGATTCCCGACCTTATGGAGAGAGACAGCTCCCCTCACTGGCTGCTCTTGAGGAAAAGCTCACTGGTGGCGACCTAAAGGGGCTGAGTTCCAGAACGGGATTCAAGGGCAGGACACGCCCACCTGACCACAGATGGCGCACCTGTGCTCAGCAAGTGTTCCAAGGCGTCCGCATACTGCAGGAGGCGGCTGGCGTACAACCAGGACTGCAGGCGGTAACTGTTGCCGTCATTACTTTTGGGATCATCATAAAACTTCTCCAAACTGCAGTTGCCACTGTATGCTACATCCAGGGGTTTTCCATCCCCAGTAGTGCTGTCTGCATAGTGTATCCCTGCTTCAGGGAAGTGCTTCAAGCCTGCAGAGACAGGATGGTGAGACGAGACATGGACTCCTCACTCTCCAGCCGCGAGCAGCGGACACGGACAGGAACCGAGCCCATCAGAACACCAGCACTGAGGCTGGCTGGTGAGGACTGGGGACAGTTACCCGCATGCCTGTGTTCAGAGTTCAGGGGAGCACTGAAGATGCTCAAGGCGTGTCTGGAACACACAAGTCAAGCATGCAGCTCACGGGCTTCACCACAGCTGGTCCCCCGACACCCGAACCTATCTGCACCCCTCCCACGGCTACGGGAGCCCTGAGCGCCCGCGGCAAGTGCCCAAGGAGCACAGGAAGGCACGGTGGACAAACACCCGCCCCGGGAGCAGGGACGGGCTGGCACCGGCTGCACTCTGAGCAGCCGTGTGACGTCGGCTTCGCTGTTTCCCCACCTGTGCAGCGGCAGCGACACGCCGTTTCAGAGGCTGTTATAAAGCCACTTCCACCACCAAGATGAAGCTCCCTCCAAGCTCAGAATGGCGAGGACTTTTAATTTCCCAAATGAAAAATTAAAAACTGCTTTTCAACAAATAGTTTTATATGTAAAATACCTACCTTGGCCCAATCCTACCTAGTCAGTATTAAAGTAAAATCAAATGAAGAGAAGCAAACGTACACCCGAGAAAACATCATTCTGTGTGACACAGGTTCATACCTAGTTTCTCTGCTACTGCTTTCGCAAGCTTGCCTTTTCCAGAACATATATTGCCATCGACGGTTATCACTTTGCTGAATTTTGACAGTTTTTTGCTTGTTTTTTCACCGAGTATGTATGCCAAAGGGCCGTACTGCCGCTGGTCCTGGACTTGTGTATGGATGCCTCCCTGAAAACACAACAGCATAAAGTAGGCATGCTGGCCGCTGCAGGCATGAGCAGTTGTTGGGTAAAATGCCAAGAAGACCTGTGGGCATACAAATGCCAACATCTACAACGTTATTACCTATTTATTTGTTTAATTACAGGTTACCCCACCCCACCCCTATGTAAGCTTGTAAGGACAAGGTGACTGTCTGTTCTGTTCACTGCTAATCCTCAGGGCCTGGAACAGTGCCTGGAATAGAATATGCTCACCATGTTCAATGTAAACTGGATGGATGGAGAAAAGGCAGAGAGTAGGGGAGAAGGGGAGGAATGAAATAAAGGACATTTGTCTAGTCCAGCCTCTGTCCTGATTATCCACTGCCTTCAAACAGCTCCACTAGGTGTCCTAAAAGCTCCTGAAAGCTAACAGACCTAAAACTAAGATTCAGCACTCACACCCTAACCCTCACTCTGCCCCTTCACAAGCTCCCTATCCACTACCAACCAAGGGAAACAGAGCAAGCATGAAGCCATCCTTCATAACCTCATTCCCCCAACTCCACAATCACTTACAAAGTCCTACGATCTGAGCCTTAAATCTCTCTGGAGCACGTCACCTCCCTACCCCACAGATTCAGACATCTTCACCTCTCACCTACAATGCAAACACCTGCCTCATCTCCGGTCTCCAACATCTCCAAGGTATGTTTTGCACTAGAGCCATAACAATCCCTCCAAAACACACACAGACAGAAACACACACATACACAAACACAATTAAAAGGCAAAAGCTGAGAAAAGTTCAACACAGAGATTGTGCAGATCAGTAAGAAAAACAGACAGAAATGCAGAGTTTATTTTTAAAGTATTAAAAATAGCCAACAACCAGATGAATAATGTTCAACCTTGTTACAAAAAGCAAACAAAAATTAGTAACAAGGAGAAATTAGTAACATGCACCAAACTGAGGAACACTTTGTTTTCAGTGATGATGTGCAGAGTTGGTATGAGAAGAGCCTCATAAAGTGTTGGTGGTAATGTGACCTCAACACTGGGCCTAGAGCCTAGGTATCAGGGATCTATGCAAAGGGAACAGACACATCTGTGCAAAGGTTTACCTAACAAGATGCTCAATGCAATCTAGTTTACAATATCAGAAATGTAATAAAAACGCTAATGTCTAACAACAGAGGAATAGGTACAAACTTAAGGTATATCCACGTGTTGGAATAGTAAGTACTCATGAAAATAAAATATTTTATTATGAAATAAAGAGAATATAAAATAATATCAAGATTTTCTTTAACCCTGATTTGCTTATTTACTGTCCTGATTACTAAAGGGTGAGAAAAAAAAACAACAGGTTACAAAAACAAATGCAAAGAAAACAATGAAATTTAAAAATAGGCAAAAGATTTGAACAGATGTCACAAAATGAGATACACAGAATGACTAACAGGCCTATAAACAGATGCTCAGCATCATGAGTGACCAGGGAACGCAAGTGAAAACAACAGATCTTACCACACACCTATCAGAATGGCTAAAACTCCAAATAACCGCCAACACCATGTACTGGTAAGAATGAAGAGCAACAGGACGCCCACTGGCGGGAGTGCAGAATGGTACAGCCACTCTGGAAGTTAGTTTAGCAGTTCTTATAAAACCAAACATAGTCTTACCACATGATCCAGCAATTTCCACAATGAAACCTGCATACACATGGTTATAGCAGCTTTATCCATAATCACCAAAGACCAGAAGCAACCAAGATGTCTTTCAATAGTTGAATGGATAGACTGTGATACAGTCATACAGTGGAATATTATACAGCAATGAAAAGAAGTGAGTTATGCCCTTAATGGGTTGGCTCAGTGATGAGAGCATCAGACCAAAGAGTCACAGATTGGATTCCTGGTCAAGGGCACATAGCTGGGTTGCAGGTTCAATCCCCGGCCCCAGTTGGGGCCGTGCAGAAGGCAATCAATGTGTCTCTCTTACATAGGTGTTTCTCTCCCGCCCTCTCTTCCATTCTATCTAAAAAACCAATAGAAAAATATCCTCAGGTGAGGATTGAAAAAAGAAATGAGTTATCACGCCACAAAAAGATAGGAATGAATCTTAAATACATATCTCTAAGTAATAACAATACGAGAAGACAACATATTGCAGGATCCCAATATATGACATTCTAGAAGAGACAAGCTAGAGACATCAGAGCTCAGTGGGTGCCCGGGGATGTGTAGGGCAGTGAATGACTCTGCATGATACTGGACAGTGACATGACCCTGCACCCGTCAGAACCCACAGAACTTTACAGTAGAAAGGGTGAACCCCAATGTATGTGAATTTTTAGAAAACCATTTATGGTAGAGACATCCTAGAATGGAATGCAGAATGTAACAAAACCAACTGAGTTACAAATGTATGAAATCACTTCACTGTAGGGGGTGGGGAAGTGTAGAGCTTGGCAAATCAGTGGAGTCTGCAAGACTGAAGGTAAAGGAACTGTACTCTTTCAGATAAACATACTTGCCACCTGGTAAAAGTCAACAAACCCGACACTACTATACAGTATCCTAGACTTAAGCAGTTAAGTACATGGACAACAGATGGGAGCACCAGGTCCTTACTGCTGAAGTGGGAGGGTACCAATCAGCAAGGGAGAGGCTAGAATGGAATGATCTACATGGTAATGGGTTAGTCACACACATCAGTGTAAACTAGTGTTTGGTTGAGTGTGGATGGCTACACACAAGTATTTGCAGACGCGGCTGTAGGTACAGCTTGGTCCATCTCACTGCTGTCTGCTAAGAGGGCCCAGCAGCAAGGACACACCAGAAGCAATTACACCTGGTACCTAGATCTGGGTTTCTAAACCTCCCACCCCTCCCCCCATGAATAAAAAGAACCAGGGCTCCTTGGAGAAATGGCTGATTCTAGGGTTGGGGCAGGAAAAATACAAGTGAGCTTGGATCCCCCCCCCCCCCCACACACACACACACGCCAACTGGAAAAGTTCCCAGTGGCCACAGCTAGAACAATCTGAGCAAGAAAACTGAGTTGTGATGGATTATAACCCAAAGTAATAAATATCTGTGAGTCCATACAGATGTAAATAAATAAATGTGGAAAGAGATGAATTTCCCATGCAGAACAGTTCCAGACAAGTTATGTAGCTCCTGTGCCTTTGCAAAAGGGAACATAACCCCCACTCCTCAGGTGTGGGCTGCACAATAACTTCCCTCCAAAGAGCACATGGTGGAACAGGGAAGGCGTAACCTTACAGTGGAGAAACTGTCTCACTACCTCACCAGGTGGCCAAGGTCAACACCAACAGTGGTAAGTCAGTTCATGGTACGCACCCTTGACACTGTGTGTCGAGAAAGGCACTTCACCTTTGTGGTCTCCTTCCCAACAACATTCAACCCAGTTTAATCATGACAAAAACATCAGACAAGTGCCGCTGAGGTACAAATGACCTGCCCAGAACGGCTCAAAAATGTCAAGATCATCAAAAACAAGGAAAATCTGAGAAATAAATGACGAATGCAGAACTTGGGGAAAACTGAGGAAATCTGAATACAGCAGTTACTTACAAGAAAAGAGAATGGACTATATGATCTCGTTTTGGTAAACAATACACACAGACACATTCACAGCAGGAAAAAAAGTTGAGGGAAAGATACATATCAGAATGCTGGAGTAATGCCTGCAGCGGCCAGCAAGTGGAACCACCCAGCACCCGCTCCACGCCCCCCGCACCCTCTCCGCGCCCCCCATATCCGCTCGGAGCCCCCCCGTACCCCCTCCGCGCCCCCCGCACCCTCTCCGCGCCCCCCATATCCGCTCGGAGCCCCCCCGTACCCCTCCGCGCCCCCCGCACCCACTCGGAGCCCCCCATACCCGCTCCGCGCCCGCCGCACCCACTCGGAGCCCCCCATACCCGCTCCGCGCCCGCCGCACCCACTCGGAGCCCCCCACACCCGCTCCGCGCCCGCCGCACCCACTCGGAGCCCCCCATACCCGCTCCGCGCCCGCCGCACCCACTCGGAGCCCCCCACACCCGCTCCGCGCCCGCCGCACCCACTCGGAGCCCCCCACACCCGCTCCGCGCCCGCCGCACCCACTCGGAGCCCCCCACACCCGCTCCGCGCCCGCCGCACCCACTCGGAGCCCCCCACACCCGCTCCGCGCCCGCCGCACCCACTCGGAGCCCCCCACACCCGCTCCGCGCCCGCCGCACCCACTCGGAGCCCCCCACACCCGCTCCGCGCCCGCCGCACCCACTCGGAGCCCCCCATACCCGCTCCGTGCCCCCCGCACCCACTCGGAGCCCCCCATACCCGCTCCGCGCCCGCCGCACGCCTGCCCGGGGCCGGGGTCTGCAGGACCCGAGCGGCCGGTCGCCCCGTGTCGCTGGGACGAGGCGGCCGGGAGAAGCTGGCGGTCCCTGAGGTCGGTCCACGACTCGGGACCGGGACAGAGGCGTCCCCCCGACGGTGACCCTGGGCGCCGCCGCGCGGAGGCCCGGGGACGGGGAGGCGCGGCGCCGGGAGGACAGGCCGGAACCCTCCGCCGCCCACTCACCGAGCGCTGGGCCGCCGCCGCGACGCCCCGCGCGGACGCGGACGCGGGGCCCAGTCTCAGCAGCCTCAAGGCCATGGCTCCGCGGTCGGCACCGGCTCAAGGACCTGAGGGGACGCGGTCGCGCAGGGTCCTCGCTCGGGCCCGGCGCGCCGCCGTGACGTCACGGCCGGAGTGCCCGCGCAGTGCCTGTCGGAACTTCCCGCGGGGCCAGGGCGCAGGCGCAGGGCGCCGGGAGCGGGGCGGCGGGGCCGCCGGGCACCAGGGCGGTGCACAGACCTCCCCGCCCGGTCGCCGGTGGGCAAACGGAGGTCCTGTCGACGGCTGTGCCTCTGATGTGTGGCTCCCTGCTCGTCCAAAATAGGGGTGCCCCTTTACTTACTACGGGGCCCGACCCGGTGAATGTCAGACGTGCGTGTAAGGCACCCCGCCTACCGAACACACCGCTGCGCCACCCGCTTGCGCATGCCCAGAGCGCACGGTGCCCAGCGGGGCCCCGTGCCGGACGCCCTGCCTCTGCCCAGCCCCACCAGGCGCGGGGCGGGTCCCCAGCCCGGGGCAGCTCGGCGTTCCAGGTCCGGACGGCCGTCGGGAAGCCAGGCCGTCTGCAGATGTCTGGTCCCCAGCCCCAGGACGGCCCAGGGCCTCGGTGCCGATGGGCTTACGCGCCCCAAGTGAATAGAGGTATGTGTGTGCCTTGTCCTCAGAACTGGAGAGGACAGTTCTCTCCAGAGTGGCCTATGGACTCGATGCAGTCTCAGCAGCGACCCAACTGAGTTTTCCTCTGTGGAAGTGGACAAGCTGGTTCTAAAGTGCATGCCCCACGCCCACTTGGGAAGAGCTACGAGGACCCAGGTGATGGTGAGAAAGAACGGTGGCAGGACCGGCTGACTACCACAGTCAGAGCTTAGGGGACAGCGCTGGTCATGACAGCAGCGCGCATTGCCGCAGGAAGAGCCGGACCGTGGACAGAGAAGGAGCCCAAAAGAGGAGGGTGGAAGGGCCCTGGGCCATGAAGAGTAACAGTGCAGAGGGGAAGCATGGTCTCCTCAATAATTGGTGGGTGCTGGGTCCATGTGACATTCACATAGACAAGAAGAATTTTAACCAGTATTTCATACCATAAATAAAAACCAATGTCAGATGGATTTTGTAACAATAAAGCTTCTAGAATGAAACAGGAGAATATCCTCCCGAACATGGTTTAGGTGAACATTTTCTTAAATGGAAGATAAAACACTAACTATAAAGGGGGAAATGGACAAACTGGACATCAAAATAAAGAACTTCTCTTTATCAAAAGACACCGTTAAGAGAATGAAAAGGCAAGCCCAGAAACTAGGACGTCTTAATAAATACTGCCAACAGAGGGCATGTATCCAGAATACATAAGAACGGCTATAAAAATAGGCCAAAGATTTGACTGGATAGACACTCCAGACAGGGCCTAGGCAGGAGAAGGAACTGCTAAACATTACAAAGGAGCAAATTAAAGTTACAGTGAGACACCACGACCCCAGAAGAACAGCTACATTGGAAAATACACCACCAAGTGCAGGAGGGTTTGGGGACACTGGATACTCACAGGCTGCTGGTGGGGGTGAAAACGGGTCCGCCCACAGGGGAAACAGTTCTGTGATTCTCAAGTACCAGTCTGTCCTACACTCTGTCTTGCCTCCTGTTCTTTTACTAACTTAACTTTGGTCGTTCCGTCCAGAAGGTGGCCTTCCCAGCCCAGCCCAGTCCATGGGACTTGGGGTAAATGACCCATTCCTAGCTCGGGGTGTGTGTGTGGGGGGGGGGGGAGTATTGCTCAATCTAAGCCTCTCAGCCTTAGAGTCTAAGGTAAGCATGGTTTCCAGATCCACAGGAACACAGAATTAAGAAAAACAGGTCATGGTATTGCCCGGGAAACAGTTCACGGTTTCATGCTTATTGGAAGATGTTATTCTTTAAAAAAAAATTTTTTTTTTTTTACTTATTGATTCTAGAGAGAGAGTGGAAGGCAGAGAGAGAAATATCAATTTGTTCTTCCACTCATCCATGCACTCATTGGTTGATTCTTGTTTGTGCCATGACCGGGAATCGAACCAACAACCTTGGCATATTGGGACAACGTGTTAACCAACTCAACTACCTGCGCAGGGCGAGGAAGATGTTATTCTTTATTAAAAGAGAGGTACCCTATCCGTGAATGGTCTCATTGGTTCCTTTTTCCGTTAGGCTGGTGCTTTTTATTTATTTTTATTTTTAAAATATGTTTTTATTGATTTTTTTTTTTTTTAGAGAGGAAGGGAGAGATAGAAATATCAATTGGCTGCCTCCTGCACGCCCCCTACTGGGGATCGAGCCTGAAACCCGGGGATGTGCCCTGACTGGGAATTGAACCAGGACCTCTCAGTCCATGGGACGATGCTCAGTCCACGGAGCCCCACTGGCCGGGCTAGGCTGGTGCTTTCTAACAACCTGTTTAAGAGCGCCTTGCTTTCTCAGGCATCAGAGCCCCACCCCCACCCCAGTCCTGTTTCAGAGGCCCCCCGACCTCCCTCCTTGCACAGCCCACTGGTGCATTTCCTTTACCCCCAGGAACTATTTCTGTCTCTGCATTTCTCATCGATTTTAGACCAAACTGTTCCACTCCTGGAGGGACATTCGGTTTGGCCCAGTGCTTGTCCAGATTGAGGGCAGCAGCACAGCCCAGCAAAGCCTCCCCTCCCCCCGCCCCCATTAGTCCACAACCTGCGCATAAGGCAGGTCACCAGAGGGCTGTCTCAACCGCCTGGCAACAGCTGCTGGCCCTGTCGTTCACTGTCCTCAGAGGATGAAGGCTCAGTCCACCCCATCCCCATCCCCTCTCCCAAGGTCCCCAGCAGAGGAGGGGGCTACCTAGCAGGGACCCTCATGGCCGCCCTCCTGGTGAGTGGAGTGCACATGAGGCGTGTAAGCCAGCCCTTAATGTCTGCCAGCCTTGTAAGCAAGTGCTTCTATCACCTGTTCCCGTTCTCTGTCCAAGCCCTGCTCTGAGAACGAAATGCAACGACATGTTCACTCGATGTGATGTCTTTGCGCCCCTGTTGGACACCAGGGGCCACAGAGCATGCTCCCTGCCCTCAAGAAACAGAACTGGGGTCCGGTAAGCAGACTCGTCTTCCCAGGCCTTCCATGGTAAGCATTTTCATCCATCAGGTATGGAAAGGCTACTTCGGAGCGTCAGGACCCATCTGTAGCCTCCCAGGATGACCTGCAGTGGACTGGTGTGGTCTATGCACGGGGCCTGGCCCCAGAGAAACTGCCCCTCACCACCTCTCTAGCTCCTGCCGGAGGCCAGGACAGTCTGGTTGGCATTTTGTGCCTCTGAGGGTGCAAGAGGGACACATCGATGATCATTCCATGTCTGCACTGCTGCAGCCCTTGTGTCTACTCATTCCATGGACCCGGGGCACCACCTCCAGTGAGCACACCAGGATTTCCATCTGCAGTTTCCAACCACCTTCCGATCCTGAAAGGGGCTGGAATTGCCATGTCCTACTCTATGGGCCGCAAATTCCCAGAGTGATTCTGTACAGCTGTGCCCATCCCGCATCCCGTTAAGAGCAGTTTTCCATTGCCCACCTGCCTGGCCACAGAGCCCCGTCACTGGCCACCCCCGGAGATGAGCGAACACGCCCACACGAGACCTTCCCTGTGGTTTAATTCTTCCCTCACCGCGAGGGAACCAGCACGCCGTTCAGCCCACCAGCCAGCCAGTCCCTGCCTCCCTGGGTCATGGTTTCCCTGGGCTAGTCTTAGGGAGGCCGAACTTCCAAGCACAGCGCTGCCCCTCCTCCTTGAACCGGCATCTTGTTGGCCAATCAAGAGCCCCGCACAGGACACTGCCCACGCGGCAGCCCCTCAGGTGGCTCTGAGGTTAGCCGGAGAGGACCAGTCCCCCTCCACGCCTCCTGGGCTCCGCTCGCCTGTCACAGTGTCTCTCTGACATCACCCAAGACTTGATGGGCATTTGGGGTTTCAAGCTTCCTTTCTGTCCTCTGTCTTAGGGACACCTTCAGTCATTGCCCACTAGCAAGCTGGCAATTGTCTCTCGGATGGCGAATACCACCACGTCCCTGCCCCTGGAAACGTTCTGGTCCGAAATCCCAGAGCTTGCCACTGGGCGGCACTCACGGGCTTTGGTCTGAGCAGGTCTGCAGGAGGGTGAGCTGCGATACTCCCAGTTCACGTCTGTGCGGGGATCATCGGGCCAAGGGCATCCACAGAGCTACTGCATTTTGCAGTTCAGACCCAGCACACAGTGGTTCAGGCCCCCCACTCGAATGTGGCCTCTCAGGAATGGGCAGGAGCTGGCACCATTCCCAGGCTATGGAACATGCACCCTCCAAAGTCCAGACCGCCCAGCCTCGCACTGTCCCCTCCTTGTTCCAGGGAGAGGCGGTGCTGGAGCTGTGTCCGGTTGCCTGTGGGATGTCAAGGGTGGCTTCTGCCGGGATCCTGCTAAGAATTTCAGCACGTGGGCCAGCGCTTGGATCTTTGCTGGTTTATCAAGCAGCTGTCAGGTGTGTCAGCACTGACTCAAGTCAGTCTGTCAATCCCTGCCTGCCCGCCAGTTTCCATATGACATCAGCGTCGTGTTTTGTTACACTCAGACCCCGCATCAACTCCACATCCCCTCTAAGCAAATCATGACAGTAAGCTGGTGATAAATGCGCATTGGGATCCTTCCCGCAGGAAGGCAAGCTGCGGCAGCTGCTCCGGAGACCGAGACTGAGACAGCGTGTGCGGGAGCCGCCGTGAGCCCCGTCCCCTGCAGGGTGCTGGACGCTCCGCTCTGCTGAGGCCGCGCGAGAACCGCTGACCCAGCGTGCAGTCTGCCGGCAGGCTCCAGGGGCTGTTACACAGAGAACGTGCTCACCGCAGTCCAGCTTCTAACACGTTTGCTCAAGTGCTAGTCCCTTTTTGGCCACGAGGTATTCTATGCTGTTATGCTGTGTCTTTATTTAAATTTTTTTTCTTTATTGATTTTTTAGAGAGGGGAAGGGAGAGAAAGAGAGAGATGGAAACATCGATGAGAGAGAACATTG